TACTGACATCTGTACTGACCGTGACGTCCTGCTGATGTTCAACTGAGAATGTAGAGATGAAGATCTCAGACATGAGGCTTGTTCTATGCTCTGTTTGTTTTCTCAGAAGCCCTGACTGTATACAAAATGAAGCAAAGGGGGACCAGCAGTTGGCGTAGTGGCTATGTCGCTGGACTCCCGCGCAATCAACTGCGGGCAGTTGCCCAAACCTGGTGGCTTTAACTCATGCTGGGCATGTGTGTGTGTGTGCCCAAGATCCCGAGAGGAGAATGGAGGAGAAGGGATTGTGGTATGGCCATCCCCACTGGGGGGTGATTTCTTGCCTCCTGTCTCTCTGTCTGTCTCTGTCTTTCTGGCAAGCACATGCGCCCTATAGCCAAAACCTCTCAAAATAAAAAAAGAAAAGAAAAAAATATGGAGCAAAGGTTAATGGACCCTAAGGTACCCAAGGGCCAAAGAAGCCTCAGTTCTGGATTCTGGGCCGAGAGATCCAGAATGGACCTAAGTGTACTGCCAGGCCTCCACTCGAGATGCAGGATTCCCTCACTACCGCAGTGGGAATTCATGAAGATGTGATTCGCAGCTCGTCACTCCGCTGCCTAGAACCCTCCGAGAGCTGGTGTTCACATCGCGTGCATATGTAAAACATTTGGGCACTTTACTATCCATGTCATACTCAAATTAAAATTTAAGGAAAAAAAAAGGGGTCAGCAGGTGGCATGGTGGTAAAGGCACTAGATTCCCATATGGTCAACCACAGTTCGAGTCCTGGACTCAGCAGCTTGAACACGTACATGCATGCCCAAAATCCTGAGAGCAGAATGGAGGAAAAGGGATCGTGTCGTGGCCATCCCCATAGGGAATGATTTCTCACCTTCCCTCTCTCTGTCTCTCTCCACTATCTCCAGCGAGCACATGGTGCCCTATGGCAAAAGCCTAAAATAAACAAAACACACACGAACACACACACACACACACACGCACACACACTCCTGCCAGTTATTTGGGAATAAATCTCATCTCCAAACCACGGCTGCACAGGCCCCCATGAGACCCTCCTGCCTCCCTCCCTGAAGGGACAATGTCCATTTCCTAGGACCATACTGAGCTCCTTTCTAGCCCAGTCCACATCCCTCCCCAGGGTGCACACGGGCAGTCCTGCTCCCTGCCTCCTGCATTCCCAGCTGCCCACCTCCCTTCAGGGGAAACACCGCTCCTCCCAGACCCCACATTCTAAATCGGGCTCCCCAGGCATTCTCTCACGTCTCTCCTTCCTCATCCTTTGTAGCATTTATCACACCCAGGGAATGCTGTCATCATCTGTGAGTTTGTTCCTACCTGTGTCCCTCCAGGAAAATGGGAATTGGGCTTGCCTGGTTCCCCAATCTACTTCCTGCTCATAGTAGTACTGAGTCTGATACTTGGAGGGGCTCAAAAGTATCTGTCAAGGGCTGACCCTGTGGCAGAGTGACCAACCTTGGTTCAAATCTCAGCCTGAAAAAAATATGCCAGGCACATGTGCATGCATGTCCCAAATCCCAAAAGGATAGAGATGGAGGAGAAGGGAATGTGGCGTGGCTGTTCCCCATTAGGGTTGGTTTCTCCCTCTCTCTCTCTTTCTCTCTCCGGTGAGAGTGCACACTCTCTGGGAATTTAAAAAAAAATCAGAGTATGCCTTTTGGCAACACGTCCCAGTACCTCAGTGTCTTCGTCTGTGCAATGCACACTACCTCGGTGACAAGGCTGCCGTGGCACTACTGCTGAGACGACACATGAGGACAGCCTTTGTCTTCCCTGGTTCTCAAGTTTAACAAATAACACTTCTGTCCACACAACAAAATAGTGAAAGATTGAGTCTAGCTACCGGGGAAAAAGAAACATTCCATCCGCTTGGACCCTCCTGAAAAGACACCCTCGGCTGCCTTTTCTTGAGGCTGACCCATTTGAGTTCCTTTATCTGATCCTCAAAGGCTTTTGTTTCTCAGCCCTGAAATCTGGGGGCTGAGAAACAAAATCCGCACTCTGAGATGGCTCCAGGACCTCCTCCCACTGACTATGTTATTGCAAGTTCACTGTTTTACAAAGTGTTAGACCCTAGAGGGCTGCTCATGTGTATAAAAACGAGATGTCGAAACGGTTTACCTATGATGTTCACCGTACTATCCACTTCATTTTTTATAGCTGAAGTCAGGGCCGCATACTCAGGAGAAAGATCACTCACTCCATTACTAAGCCCCAAAGATGACTCAACTGGTTCTTGCTAGGAAGAAGAAAAGAAAAAAGAATTGAAAACACTTCCTTCCCCCTCCCTTTTCTTAGCTTAAATTCTACCCTCCATCTGTTCTCTTGAGCTAGGGTCATTCCTTTTTGTCTCCCAAGTGTACTTCCTACCCTTTAAAATTGGCTCAGAGTTAATGCAGCGCATTTCCACACAGAGCATGAGGCTGGGTATTATTCAGTTTCTTCCATTGTCCTTCGAGAAGATGGTACCGGCACGTGTGGCTGGCTTTTAGGAAAGCCTTTCACCTGTCAGCAATCACTTTGGTGTTCAGCAGAGCTGCATAACTATCTGTCAAGTGCTGCAATGCCTGGATTCCAAGTCTTTTGCTATGAGAGAGTGCTCCAAAGAGTCAACTCTCCGCCTTCTCTCTAAAGAGGGAATGAGGCCACCACTTTATGACTTTTTCGTAGGAAAAGCTTTACTGAGGAAGCTGTGGATGAACTCTCCTCAGATGTGGCTTCCCATGGACCCTGGCCACCGGAGCATCCTGCACATGGTAGCTGGCTGGCATGGGCCACACTCACAGCTGAAGTTTCCCTCTCCCTGGCCCGAGTCCAACCTGGCAAGGCGCCATCTAAATGCGCTTCAAGTACCTGGATATCCCATCCAGTCCAACAGGCTACACACTCCTACTAATGACATGATGAGAATGAAGTCCTTCCCCGTATTAGAGCTCCACGTTTCCACTTTATTCGAGTGCACTAGAGCCCTCCATGCCCTCTGAGATTAGCAACCATCCCTGGGAAAGCCCGTCCTAAGGCTCATATTGACGTTCGACATTTTGATGAGACAGCTTTTCTGCAAGGTTAGACTGCATTTGCTTCTGTGATAGAGTTCAAGTCAGACAAAAGCCACAGGACAACTCTAAGGAACCAAATGGGAAAGAGGGTGGAGGGGCAGAAGGAACACAGGACTAGAAGCAGAGGATCGTGTGGTGCAGCTGTGACAATGCTTTGAAGCAAGGGATGGCAAGATTTGGGACACACACACATGTGGCTGATGTAAATTTCAAGCCTCTGGGTCTAGGACTTGAACCACGTTTAAGTCCTGGGTCCAGTACTTGAACCACTCCCGTGTGGGAGTCCAGCGACATAATTACTATGTCATCTGCTGGTCCCGATACAGTTGTACTTTAAATCCATATTTTCACAATTTTTTTAAAAGATTTGCCTTAGAGTGCATGTGCTTGCCAGAGAGAGAAGGAAACAAAGACAGTGAGAGGGGAAGTGAGAAATCACCCCACGGGAGGGATGGCCATGCTGCAATTCCTTCTCCATCCTGCTCTCAGGAGCTAGGGCACACATGCACATGTGCCTGACATGATTTTCAAGCCACCAGGTCCAGGACTCAAACCATGGTTGGCCATGTGGGAGTCAAGCAACGTAACTGCTATGCTATCTGTTGGCCCCTCCATGGCATTTATTATTAAGTAAATGCTCTCTATGGTCAAAGGTCACCCATAAAACTCTGGCCTTCCAAATCCAATGACTCAAGTCTTTTTCCCTCGACCCCATACTCTGACTCCCAATAGGGAAGACTATACTCTCCCTTCTTTACAACCTCAACCACTTGACTGCTACTATTTCCAACCTCTTCGATGGCACCGTCCTTTCTTGATGGCCCCTTAAAAGCCCTTTTTCACTCTCCCTTCCCAATGGTGCATGCTGGACATTTCATTATTCCACTTTCATTTCCTCAATTCCCTCAAAAGGCCCTGAGTACAGGGTATCTGAAGAAATTATGGAAAGAACTGCTCATTTTTATGGGTTTCTTTGGATGTCTTAAGCTATATTTTACTCTTTCTGTTTCTAGGTTTCTTATAGTAAAAGTAATGAGGCTGTCAGACTTGCACAGATTTAAAAACCTAAATTATTCTGATTTCTCAATTGAAGACCTCTTAGTGTTTCACATGATCTACAGTTTAATTAGCGGCAAGTGATACTTCTATCACTTTACACTTGAGAAAAGTATGACTCAGAGACTCAATTAATTTTCCAAGATCATACTGCTTTTAGCCTGCAGAGATACAGGAGCTGAACTTTGTCTTTGGTCATGCAATATGGTGCCATCGCAGGAGTTTTCCATCTTAATAAACCCTTCTGTCCTGCACTAATTTCAATAGCGACTCCAACTGGACTATTTTAAACACTATTCCTTCCATTTCTACCTTTATCCATACTACACTTCTATAATACAGCAGTATTTTCTATCAATGGAGATTTAAAGAGACTATTTTTTGAACTGTTTTTACCCCTGCCGTTCCCGCATTAAATTTTAAACACCTTAAAGTTATATGTAATCTAGTGTAATAGAAAGAAGATTATGATGATAATAAAATAAAAAAATAAAAAAAAAATTTTAAACACCTATCAATTTCTTTTTTCTTTTTTTTTGCTATAGGGCATGTGTGCTTGCCAGAAAGACAGAGAGACAGAAAGCGAGAAGCCGCCCTCCCAGGGCAGATGGCCACATCGCAATGCCTTCTCCTCCATTCTCCTCTTGGGACCTTGGGCACACACGCACACGCACCCGGCGTGAGTTTAAGTCACTGGGTCTGGGACTTGAACCGCAGTCAACTACATGGGAATCCAGCGACACAGTCATTATGCCAACTGCTGGTCCCAAAAGCCTATCAATTTCAAAGTCTTCAGTGCAAACCTTCTCACTGACACTATCACTCCGGAAGGATGACAATACAGTAAGTCGTACAGTAAACTATAGCCAGTACCTCCCTGAAAGGTCTCCATCCAGGGAGAACAAAGCCCACGAAAGAAGGATCCTCACTATACTCAGTCAAAATTTTTCAACAGATTAGAAGTAGGGCTATCTAATCTATATTAAAAATTCAAGGACACCACATTAAGCAAAGGGATGTACAGCTCCTCTGTCACCTGTGCACAGAGATCTGCAGGTCCTGAATGGCCTTTGCCTGCAGCCTCTCCAGGTCCTCTCTGGTGATCTGTCTCAACTGCACCCCGCTCTGCTGCATCATAACCTGGCCTGAATCTGAACCAACTTTCTCCTGTTCCCTCTCCCTGCAGATATAGACTGTCCTGTAAAACAAGTAGCCTGTGGCTTTCTTCGTTTCTAATCTTTTTTGCCACCTTCCAGAGAAAACCAAAAAAGATTATGCTTTGGTTCAGATTTCTCCATGGTGCCTTAACTCTGCCAAATATGTGTGTTTAAGAATGTTTTTTTGTAATTATAGAATCCAAGGTTGGATTTACAGTTTAAAAGATTTTCAACAGAAGCAATAGTACATGAGAGATTTCAGGGGCAAAGCTGGCTGTCTTTAGACCTATAAAAAAAATGCACCTTTGGCTGTTTTCAAAGCTATGCTTGCGGGGTGAACTCGGGGGTGGGTCAGCAGTACAGGACTGCAGAGGGTTTCTGCTGGCCCACGTCCCTCATCCCTCCACTCCCAGCCCATTCTGTGTCATTCATGTGTCAAAATCCTTTGGCTAGATCTCTCCTCCTTTAACGTTTAACAGAAAGGGCTCCCAATCCACTTCCCACGCCCTAAAACGCCCTATTCATTTATACAAAGCCAGTCTCCTTGAAGCCAAATATAAGGATGTCCAATTTAAGGGCATTTCCAAGTCTGTGCTAACCAAAATTTCAGGCTGAAAGCTGGGCTTCACAGGAAACTGAACTTAGTAGGGTTGAAGAAGCCTCAACACTGCTAAGTACAGAAGCTCTAGTCAATCAAGTTGGTGCCTCCTGCTGGTCTGAAAAAACCCTCCCCAAGTTCTTCCCTTGGAACCAGACCATCCTCATTCTCTTCCTCCCCCTTCTCACTGCATCTTCCCTTTTGACTTTTCTTCCCTCAGCTCATTTTTCTTTCCCTCTTCTCCTTGGGTCTTTTTTTAAATAACTGCCCTACCTGCACATCATAAAGCTTTTCTTTCAGAGAAGGCACCTCCAATACCATTCTTGAGCAAATAACCATCCATCTGCACCTCCAACACTTACCTGGCTCTACACCTGTTAAATCCAGTTCCTTATCTCACATACATGCTCTACGGGGCTCCATGCCATTTTAAGCCCAACATGTTCAAAGGTCAACAACTCCGCTTCTCCACAAAATGGGCACCATTCTCAACTTTCCCTCTCTGAGGTTTAGGATCTCAGAGGCTTTCTCTTTCATTCACTCCTGTCTATGTCCTCCATAGCCTCTTCCATACTCTGGAAAAATGTCTCCTCTGCATTCCAGTGGCCGGCATCTCTGCCCACACTTTCTACTGCAGTCTCTCCTCCCCTCTCACTGCAAGAAAGATGTCCCTTACATAGCAGTTCCATCACACACAGCAGTTTTCTACTGTGAGGAGTTCAACTGTGCCTTAATTCATAAAAATCATCCGTAGGGGCTATTTACCCCAACAGTTTTCAAACTGTGCTCCGAGCAGCCCTCGCAAAGGCCACCAACAGAGGAAGGGAGGAACCAGACCAGGGAGGAACCAGACCGGGCAGGATAAGCCTGATAACCTATTTCATCCAGCACAGCTCTGCTTTGATCAGTTTTTCAAGAGACTTGCTGGCATGTGTTTTCATCTGATCAACATTTAAAAATTGAAGACCTCGACCAACCCATGAAGGGCTTGCTCTAGGAGCAGTCCTGGCAGGTGGTCATTTGCCTGTCTTTGAACAGTGACAAGGTACACACTGCATTTCAATCCAACTCACCTCACTGTCAAGAGCCAGCAGCTCTATGAAAACATTCTGCTGAAGCAACACATGCTTTTCTGCAACTTCCACCGAGAGGTCTACATTCAGAACTAATAAAGACCAAGCCTTCATCAAGTTTCTCTAGATGCCCTTCTCAATTGTATTTCCAGCACAACACTAGTGCATTGACTAGAAGCACTTTACAGTTTCAAAGTATGTCTATTTCAGTGGCAAACAACCCTGAGGCAGGAAGTAGGCTTTTATAGCCACCCTTCCTACACATCTTTACCCTCCATTGTTCTCACCCACAACTCCTGCTCTATTTAAGAGAGTTTCCAGCGCACTAAAAGAAGACCGCACAACCGCTCTAATCTCTCAGCTTTCATTCAGGAGCCTCCCACTGCTGGGAAATTACCATTTTACCTGTCCACCCCAAAGTCTGGTTCAGGTCCCTCAGCTTCCAAAGGCTGAGAGGCACTGGGTAATGTAAAAGAGCATGGACTTGGGACCAGCAGATGGCAATAATGGTTATACTGCTGAACTCCCATGTAGTCAACTGCAGTTCAAGTCTTGCTCCCAGTGGCTTAACTCACGCTGGGCACATGTGTGTGCATGCCCAAAATCTCAAGAGGAGAACAGAGAAGAAGGGATTGTCATGTGGTCATCTCTGCTGAGGGGTGATTTCTCACTTTCTGTTTCTCTGGCGAGTACATGTGCCCTATAGCAAAAAATCTCTCTTTAAAAAAAGGGGGGACATGGGCTCTAGAGTTGAACTGATTGAATTTGGATTCATCATTTCAATTCAATTCATCATTTGCAATGCTCCCATAATGTACTGCAATCTCAGAGCAATGACTCAGCCTTTCTATGCCTCCATTTCCTAAATATCTGCCCATCAGAGAACTAAATGAGATAATAATTACCACTTGGAACTTGGTAGGAGCTCAAACATGTCAACTACCACCCTTCTGTTTTACTTTCAATCCTTACGGTTCTTGGCCTTGCCTGAATCCCACAGAGCAGTATGTCTCATGGCATTTTTTGAAACACACATATGCATTGATGCTGGGTGACCCGGTATTGCTCGTTATTATTTTTCTTGCTCTTATTCTCCTAACTAGACAGTCACTTCCACACAGATAGGGGTGAGTTTAACTAAAACATGGCTTGCTGAGTAAATAGGATATACTCACTAAAAGAATATCAAAGAAAGTTGAAGTGGCATTTCTGCGTCTAGTGCATGGCCAATGAGCCTTGGGTCTTGCAGTCTTGCAGAAACTATTTCCTTAGGGGGAACGCAGAACATGGAGGTAAATATTCTAAGTGACCCAAGAAAAATTTTGAGCTTCAGTCCACATGCTCTCAGCACAGTTTGCTAACTAAGACTTCAATTCAACTTGGCGACTAGGCTGCCAGTTATGACATAAAAGACAAACAGAAGAAGCCTACCTAGTCTATCCAATTACATATCTACATAGGACATGTGACCTTGAAGCTTAGGTGTTCTGAAAGTAATGTTTTACTAGCTCAGAAAGATAAAGTCCTTTGACTGTACAGATCTAGACAACTGAGAACTAACTTCTGAAACATTCTACAGGGACAATAAGTCAATACAATGCTTTGGCTGTCCTGAACCACAGACCTTGGGAAGGCCATTGGCCTTATCTGCGTCCCACGATTACATTGTAAGCCATATACAAACATATTTAAATTCAAAAGTTAGGCAGGGCACATGTCTGATGAATTATCTGTCTTCTGCTGAAGGAGCAATGTGCTCCTGAGAAATAAGTTTTAAGTGCTAACTCTCTCTTTATCATTTGTATTTAGACAAGGATTTCGTAATAGAGACTTTGCTGAGATGAAACTTGATCCACATGGTTGTTCCTAAAGGGAACCTTTCACTTATTTCCCTGAGTCAAGATGACCAACCCCCAACCAGAGCTGTACCTTCCCAGCTGGCTCATGCCAGGTGAGAGACACTGCCTTCTGCTGATTGACTGCAGATCCCTTACACTATGTCATCCTTCTAAGATGCACATTCTTCACATTTCCACATCCTTGAAGTAGGGTGTGTCTTATGATTGATTATATGTCATTCTTTCTGTATATATTTCATACATAAAATAATAGTGCATCTTATAATCATTGGCAACTGACATTCATTGGAATATGATGGATATATATGAGCAAAGTGTGTTAGCCCATTCTATTATGCCATTCATTTTGATTAGGCACAACAGTAAATCCCCTCACTCCTACCTCACGTGTGATAGTCATTATGCATCTATTTAGGCAATAAGTGCCTATGCATCTATCCTGTGAACAAATATGTTTTAAATAGCCCTTCTGTGCCAGGCTCTGAGCTAGATACTGTGAAGATAGTAGTAAATATGATAGTCACACCTAAGACTGTAGCAAATTCCAGCCAGCAGGTGGTGTGCAAGAGAAGGTGCTGGATCCCATATGACCCACTTGAGTCCTGGACCTTGTGGCTTGAAAATCACACTGGGCGTGCATGTGTGTGTGCGTGTGTGTGTGTGTGTGTGCGTGCCCAAAATCCCAAGAAGAAAAAGGAGGAGAAGGAATAAGGGATTGTGACACAGTCATCTAGGAGGAGTGGGGTGTGATTTCTCACTTTCCCTCCCTGTCTCTCTCTGGCAAGCACATCCATCATATAACCAAAAACAAAACAAAACAAAACAAAACAAAAACAAAAAAAACACTAAACTAAAAGAAACTCAATATAGGCTAACAACAAGGTCTTTTTTTTAATTGTAAAGAAAAATAAATATTTAAAAAAGTAAGGTAAGGGAAACCTACAGATTAAAAAAATTAAGAGACAAAATTCACATGTAGATCTTATATAGATCTTAATTCAAGTAAACAAACTATATTAAAGTTAAGACATTTATGAGACAACTGGGAATCAGAACACTGGCTGAATATTGATGATATTGAGAAATTACTGCCAATTGTTTTTCAGGAGCAATAATGATAACTGTGGTACTTTTAAAGAGAATTTATCTATTAAAGATATGTGCTGAAATGCTTATGGAAAAAATAATGCAATATTTGGAATTTGCTTCAAGCAACTGAAATTTGTGTTGTAAGTCAAAAATGGTTGAATATCTGCAATTTCATATTGAAAGTAGGGTAGTGGGTGGCGGTACCAATGGAACAAAATTGGCCTTGAGCTGATTAATGCTGAAATTAGGGTGATGGTCTATGGGATAAATTTTACTCATCTGTCTTCTTTCTATGTCATTAAATTTTTCCACAATAAAGTTAAAGCCAAATTAGGCCTTAATACTGTGCTATATTTAAAATAAGCCGCAAACTAAAACTACTGAAAATGAAACTGGAAGTATCACTACTAAAATCCTCTGCCTAAAGCGTTTATTTTCCATGGCAGAGGTGAACAGCTCGGAAACTTGTAACGATTTAGCTGCATGGTCCCTGAACATCTAACTACTAACTTTCTATCTGAAGGACATTATTTTGTAGTCTTCCCAACTATTTCAATTTACTGGCTTGTTTTTGAGTTTGTGCATTCTGAAAAGCTATTGTTTTTTTTTTTCAATGGTTATTAGAAATCAGAATATTTAGTATCTTCTTCAAGTTCAATTCTCAATAACCAAGTGACTTACTTAGATGTTTGTCACTCAATGGTCTCGAGCGAGCCCCGGTTTCTTCACCTGCACCCAACAGTCAGCGAACTTGCTTTCTCATTCTCTCTCTCTCTCTCTCTGATAGGTTTGAGACTTTAGCGTCTGCTTTCCCCTTAGCCACTGAAGCTCAAGCCCTCCCTAATTTTCCATGGGATAGCAGCCTCTTCTCACACTGTTGAACAAGGGCTACCCAATCTGTGCACAAAGATCCTCAAGCTTCAGGGGAGTTCAGATTACCACGTCTATTGCAAAGCTCACAGACATATATATCCCTCTGGAAAACCCTTGAGAGCTACATACGATGGTTCTACACTGTGGCAGAAAGGAATGAGAACCATACTACCAGAGTGCTTGAGTTGACTACTATGTTCCTCACTCAATGGCCTGGCATGGACTATATATAAAATAGAGCTAATGCACAGAAGTACCTAATGCTTAATGTATACTAAAATATATTTAATAGCATAAAAACATACTCATAGTATCAGACATAAGTGGATGCTGGAACTGAGCTGCAACTAGGTGGCCAGTTGGCAACAGTTGTAGTGACCAGATGGAGGCTTCTGACTGTCAAGCTCAGTGTGAATTTGTGACTTCATTCATAAATTTCTCAGTGAAATTGGATTAAGCAGGGGTTATGTGTACCTGGGTCTGCAAGTGGGTACATGCCAAAGGGGAGACATGTAAAGCACATAAAACAAACAGCAAAAGAAGAAAGACTGAACAACCCGTAGAGCTCTTATTACTTATTTTTAGAAAATGGGCTATGAATCATCAATAGGGTCACAACTTTGGCTTTCTCTCTGAACAACCAAAGATTACCTTGATATGTTTAACTCTGTCTTCTTTTTCTGTCTTTGGTTTCTTTCCTGCAAACAAGAAAAGTAGACTTAAATTAATTCCCAAAGGCTATGCAGGACAACATATCTCCCAGATTAATTCTTTCTGAAACTCTTAATGAACCTTTTGCTTGAATCTGTACATGATTAAAATTTCAAATGGATCTTTTCTTATCTCTGGTCACTTGAAAGTCACTTTTCCGAATTAGGCAAGGGCAGAATGATCACTTACAATATGAAAAGGTGTTCTACTTGTGAAGGCAATCGAGCTTTAGAAGTAAAGAAATGACAAAGTCCTGCGGTCTCTCTTCAGTGATGTGTTTGATCAGCAAACAGCTTTACCTTTCTTAGAAGGCCGTTCAGATAAGGGCAACATCCGGTACACTCTGAAGGCATTGTTTCCTTTCTTTATGCTTTTATCCTTCACTTCTTCAATATCAGGCAAGGAGTTCATGGCACATCGGAAATTCGCCTTCCATGTTTTTGGATCAGGTTTATCTACTCCTGGTTGATGCTTTCCTAACAAAACAGTCAAAGGTTAAAAAAGAGGGAAAAAATAGGCACACGGTGAGAAATTTCTGGAAACAGCATTGCTGGCCAGGTAGTACTCAGGGGACACCTACAGTGACCAACCATCCTGGTTTGTCTGGGATTGAGAAGGTTCTTGGGATTTGGAAATTTTATTTTTAAAACCTAATTCTGGGTAAACTGAGATAAGCTGGCTATCCTGGTTCTACCAAATAGCTTAGGAGAAAAAATAATAAATGGCGAATCGACATAAGTCATACAGAATGCTGGAAGGCTGAAGGCCAACAGGCAGAAGTAACTCGAGTGTATCTTGTTTATCTGACTCTCAAGTATTAAGTAAAAAGTCTATTCCTGCAAATAACTCCTTATTTAATTTTTTTTTAGAGGTTTTTGCTATAGGGCGTGTGTGTTCGCCAGAAAGACAGAGAGAGACAGAGAGACAGAAAGAGAGAAACCACCCCCCCCGTGGGGATGGCCACCCCACAAACCCTTCTCCTCCATTCTCTTCTCAGGATCTTGGGCACGCACGCACATGGGCCTGGCGTGAGTTTAAGCCACCAGGTCTGGGACTCGAACCACAGTCAACTACATGGGAGTCCAGCGACATAGTGTTATGCCAACTGTTTTTCCCTAATTTATATATATATATATATATATATATTTATTTATATATCCAGACTATCTTTTGTGAAGACAAATTCAACCCAAGTTTATAGCTCCAGAATCCATGTGTTTATATTCCCCTGAAAAAGCAAGGGGAATTTATCAGAACATCACACTTACAGGAAATTTGAAAACTCGTATTCTGCAGTATGGGTGAAACATCACTTCTGAGTGATACACTTTGTACCTCATGCCTGAAGACAAGTCACATATTTTTCAGAGCTATCTGCATGAGGCCATAAGTCAGGATATTTTATTATATGTATAAAAAAAAAAGAAAAGTAAAGTAAATAATTGCAACTGCTTCTACAAATGATGCAGAGTTTTCATACCTGTGTGGATCGCCCAATTTCTAAAGAGTGGTGCGTCTTTTTCCACATCCCATCCATGTCTAGCCGCATGCATCCAGGGGATCTGAAAAATTTTCTTTTCCTAAAAGAAAAGGAAAAAGTAAACAAGAACTGTAGCTGTGGGTTTTGGCCAACTATTAAAGAGGGATCTAAAATTCTAGCTAGTAAGATTCTCCTGTTTACTGAAATTTTGACAGTAAAGTCTACTGTACACAAAACCCACTTACCCACCAGATCCCAAATCATTTTTTATTTAAGTAATTAACATAAAATAGTCTTACATGTTTGTGGAGCACAATGTGATTTTTCAGTACAAGAATACACTGTGTGTGATTAATAATGAGCAAATTCATCATCTCAACCGTTTGTCATAGCATTCTACCCTGGGTGAGATCCAGAGTCTCCCATAGTCTGTCAGGGCAGGAATGTATTCCGAGGTCAAAGGTGATGACTTGGGCTATACTAGTGTACTCCATTATTTATACCTCTTCTCTAATTTTGTTTTTTTTTTTTTTAGGTTTTTGCCTTAGGGTATGTACACTTGTGGGAAAGAGACAAATGCAGGGAAAATGAGAAATCACTCTCCAGGGAGGATGGCCGTGCAGCAATTCCTTTTCCTCCATTCTCCTCTCTGGATTTGGGGCACATAGCCACCCACATGCACCTAGCATGATTTTCAAGCTGCCAGGTCCAAGACTCGAAGCACAGTTAGTCATGTGGGAATCCAGTGCCTTAACCACCATGCCACCTGCCGGCCCTGTAAGCCTCTTCTCTTTTATAGGACCACTGGTAACTGGCCACTGACTGAAACTTCTGATGCTTGTTATGAAATTTATTCCCATCATTTGGTATATAGAAACTCCAACTGCCTAGGGAAATAACACCCCTTCTGCTGATAAAAGAGAAGTTGGGTATATTCGTCAGTGACCAAAAAGCTCCATCTGCTTGTGTATCCAACAGAAATGACCAGCTTTGTCTAATGTTGTAATTCTTCACGTCTACTGCATGAAATAGCATGGAACAGCCAGAAGGACATGTAAAGATGTAGAGGACTATGGGATGTGCTATCATTTTCTGGAGGAAAAAAATCCCTCAATACAATCCTTACACACAGGTCTATCTTTTTATAGCCTAAGCAGGTAACTCAAAACAGCCGAAGTCCGCCCTGGCAAACACAAGAGTAGAAACGAATGCTAGAGAAACAAAGTCATACTCATGTAACTATATATGTGAAGCCTGGCTTGGCCAGAAGCTACGAAGGTACTTGTGGACTGTACATTTGTCTACCCATGTCCACGTTGGGCTTAATATCATACAACATCTCAAGAACAGAGTATGTTATAATTTCCATTTTACAGTTGAGGAAACTTGAAGAACAGAACTAAATCATTTTAATTTTCTTTCTTTTTTGGAGAGGTTTTTTATGCCATAGGGTGCATGCACTTGCCAGACAGACAGAAAGCGAGAAATCACCCCCAGGGGGGTTGGCCACATCATGATCCTGTCTCCGCCATTCTCCTCTCGGGATCTTGGGCACACACACACGCGCCTGGCATGAATTTTAAGCCACCGGGTCCAGGACGCAAACCATGGTCGACTACGCGGGAGTCCAGCGACAAAGCCATTACACTAACTGCTGGTCCCTTAATTTTCTTTTTCAGGAATTCAATGAAGTCAATCCACTGGAATTTTTGTTTTTGTTTTTTATTTCTTTGTGAGTGAGAAAGAGAGAGAGAGAAAAACAGGACACTCCACAGGGCCTTGATGCCATGATCCATCCCCAGCCTCAGTCAGCTTTGGATCACAGGCATGTATGTGCCTGGCACTCAGAGAGGTCTCTAGATGCGAACTCAGAATCTTACTGTGTGGATCAATCTTGTAGAGCATTGCATTTTACTGCTGCATCACCATCTGGCCTCAGAATTAAATTATTATTAATATTTTAATTGCCCAAGGGCATGTATGCTCACCAGAGAGAGAAAGAGAGGGAGAAAGAGCCACACAATTGGGTATGGTCACACTGTATTCCCTCTTCCTCCACCTCTCCCTCCTATTAGGATTTTTTGGCAAGTATACATGAGACATATGTTTTTCAAGCCACTGGGGCCAGGATTCAAGCATGGACAGCCACAGAGCATTCAGTTCCCAATGTAGAGTACTTAACCACTGTGCCATGGGGTCACTCTAAATTAAATGGTTTAGGCAAGCAACTTAGGGTACTAAATGTCTAAGTTAAAAAACAAAGTCATGTGATCCCATATTCAAGTACTCAACACCACCACACATTGTCTCTCAGCTTTTAGATGTAGAAGATCCTGTCCTATGACAGACCTGTTGACATAGAATCTATGGCGATTAAAGCCCAGGAAACTTTTTTTATAAAGCTCTCAGGGTAGTTCTGATAATTGCTAGATACGGGGATCCCTGCACTATGTACTGGGGAATAAAAGAAAATGTCAGTGGAGATTTTCCACCACTTTAGTCTCACACAATGAAGTATAGAAAGGGTCCCAGCTGTTCCAAAAGGGATTTGGTCCTCTCCACAACACCAATCACAAAACCAGTGCTAAATATAGTTCAGAAAATTGGAGTGTTTCCCAAACACTAGTAAAAAGAAAAATTCTGTCGTATTTTTAAAAATCAGTTAATAAAGAAGAATTGAAAGTGAGAGACTTTTCATAAACTCCTCCCTGTTCATTCTGCAGCTTCCACAGAAATAGCAAGGTTTCAGGTTAGCCACTTTCAAAAAGGGCAGATTAGAGAAGAGTTGAGTGAATTTTTACTTTTGAATGTAGATGCAAACCAGAGAGAAAAAAAAGTCACTTAATCCAGTTTCTTGGTGTTCACATGAAAATGAATAAAAATGAAAAGGAATCATTTTAGTGAAAGAACACTTTCTGAAGTGTGTACCCACAATGTACAGGTTTGTGCTTCAAGATAAAGATCCTTAAAAATTTGTGGTTATACTTTTTTCTAGGTCAAGGGAGTTCTGAGGTGAACAATCTTAAATCTCTCCCTCAAGACACAAAGTTGATACAGCTAAAACAGTTGCTTTTATTAAGCATTTGTACTTGTGCATGCGTGCACACACACAAACAAACTTAGTCTCACAGAAATTGTGCAAAAATTATGAAACCACAATAGCAATGACTGAAACTCACAGTATCTACTACAGTTCCTCTTGAAATGAGCAAAAATCCCAAATAGACCTTTCTTGAGGAAGAAGAAAACTTATACAAATGATTAACAATCATTCTGCTAGTCAAATGATTAACTGATCATTAAGTAAATACAAAACAACAAGGTAACAGTTCACATCCACTAGGCTAGCTGGACTTAAAAAAAAAACCTAAACAAAATAGTAACAAACGTTGGTGAGGATGTGGAGAAACTGGAACCCTCATACCTTGCTGGAGGGAATGTAAACTAGTGCGGCCATTGTGGATGACTGGCCATTCCTAAAAAATTTAAACAGAATTTTCAGATGGCCCAGTAATTTCACTCCTGGATATGTTCCCAACCAACTACAGACAGGTATTCATAGCAGCACCATTCACAAAAGCCAAAAGATGGAAAACACCTAAATGCCCACCCACTGATGAACGGATAAACAAAATTCTGTACATATTGTCAACGGAAGATTATTCAGTCACAAAAAGGGAACAAAGTACCAACACATGCCGCCACGTGTATGCACCTTGAAATCATACGGTAACTGAAAGAAGCCAGGCACAACAAGACCAATAATCATTCCGTTATGAAATATTTCTAAAGGCACATCCAATCCAGAAAGTTACCAGATTAGCAGTTGTCATGAGCTAGGGGACAGTGAAATGGAAAGTGACTACCTAACAGGCACAATGTTTCCTCTTGTTGTGGAAAGAAGTTCTGGAACTAGGTGACAGTGAGTGATGGTTGCACAACACTGGAAATGCACTTAATGTCACTGCATTACCTACTTTAACATGGATAAAATGCTAAATTTTTTTTAAAAAAACTACATGAAACTTTTAGTTTTTCAGACTGCAAGAAAAAGAGAACTAATAAATGTATCACAAATATCTTTTCTAAAAAAAGACCATATTAAAATGTAAAAAAAGGTGAGATTCAGTTTTCTGACAAGTTAAAATTTGGGTCATAGATCACTGTGCTTTATGGGACAATGGTGGTGTTGCTATGCATCTGTGTAGACGCTGTAACATCAGCATGGGCCAGGTGACTCAGAATCTCTGAGTGGCCAGTCCTGCACCTGTGGTAGCAGAACGCACCGTATAGAGGAGGATTCCTTCTATGCACTGGGTCCACCCGATGTCTATATGTATAGGACTTGGCCCATCTGAAGGCAGAAAGGTGAGTGCTGCCCGAGTTCAGAAAAGCATGAAGATTGTCTAGAGCGATGCAGAACCAACACCATGTGGCTCCTCATGGAAACTAGTTCTGTCTTTCTCCCCTGCCTCTTTCCCCACAATTTATAAGATAGTCCAATTAGTTTGCTGCTTTTGTTTGGAACCCTTTCCCTGCACAAAAACAGCCTGATGCTTCCACAAACAAGCTAGCTTTCAAAGAGAAGAGGGAAAGGTCTAAAACTGCCTGATGATCCCCAAGTTTGGGGGCAGGGGAGGTCACCGTAGGCCTGAATCCAACCAGATCTCCAGTATGAAATAAGAATATCGATAACCAGAGAGGGCCGGGCTGATGCTGCAGTTGGTAGCAAACTAAACCACAGTGATGGAAGCTACATGGCAAATCAGGGATTCAGATCCCTGACTGGGCTGAAAACACACCAGGCACACACATGGGCATGCAACATGCTAACAAGCTAGATGGCTGAGGAATGGGGACAGTGGCATAACAAGATCCTGTTGAGGGTGCTTCTTTCTCTCTCATGCATGCATATGATCTCTATAAGAATAAAATCAGCTTATAAATGGTAAATAACCAGAGTGAGTATCCTGTGGAACTGTGAGAGAAATGATGAACCCAAATGTGGCTGACTCCTTCCTTCCTCAAAAATTGGCCCACAGAAACCACAAGCAAGCATTTGGGCAGAGGCAAAACTAACCGGGTCTCTTCAATAAGCCA